AGTAGTTATTGGATAAATCCTCGTGGGAACGATACTCTACTCATCACTTTATTACTTGATCGGCTAGTGCACTTGCTAGTGTAAGCAATACACATCACTCTCCTATTGTTTCTCCTCTATGAGGTTGATGTGAACGATCCCAGAAGCCACCTCCCAGCCGACCCAGCCTGCTCACCCACCATAATTTGAGGAGTGTCTCGATGAGCTACACTCTTCCTCTTCTTCTTTAGTTCCATTGAGGAGCCAACTATTCTTTACTCTTGACATTTCTCCTACACAAGTAGACAACAGTAAGCCAAACTGCCAGAGTAGAAAATCGAAAGGGAAAATACCTTAGTATAGTAGGATGACCTACCTGGAGGGCTTAGTCTAGCTTGGATTAGCGCCTCATTCTTAATGCAAGTGCTAACTTAAGGTCACATCCCCGACATCCTTAATGATTGTCCTCCAATCTGAGGTGAAGGGCCACCTACTGTTGGTGTCCAGAATGAAGTACTTCCTTTTCTAGGATGACTCTTTGGAAGGGAAGCTGGCTAACAACTTACACCCGAGACAATAGGACAAATGGTAGCTAAACTCCTCATTACGATTCTTCTTTAAGTGGCAGGGTCTGACGAAATTCTGAAGAGTTAAGGGGAAGCTGTAGTGATGACAAAAGGAGATGGTGCTGACAAGGGTCCTAATGGAGTTAGGGTGGAGCTAACCTATGGAGATGTCGTAATAGTTGATAACATCGACGATAAAGGGGTGAAGAGGGAACCTGAGCCCAGCCACCAAAGCCTACTTGAAGACATAGATCTCACTCTTCTAGTGTTCTCAAGGGAACTAGTCAGCACTAGAAAGACAATACATGCAGAGTTTAAGGATCCTATACTGAGCTACGAGGTGTAAGACGTTCTCGGCCAACAATTCCGACTAACCGAACTCCAACTTAATTTTCTTGTGAGAGGTCGAGTCCCTTTCGTGGGAACCTCACCGTTCTTGTGCCAAGGACCCCTCCTCGGAATAGACGACCCTCCTCCCCTCTTTCTTAGACTCATCACTTGACATAACTTAAAAGGAAAAGAAAGGGAGAAATCAATAAACTCCCCGAAAAGGGCAAAAAGATTAACCTTACCGACTTCACCAAACACTCCGATCACATTAAGCACTCCGACCTCACTTTAGCCATAGCAGACAAGTGCAAATGAACCCCCAGGATCCCCTATTTATAGACGGGGAACATGGCTAATGAACGATCGACATTGGTCTGATACAATGACTCTAAGGGACACGATGGTTCATCTCTCGAGGTCCAAAATTGATTTAGTGCATTTTTTATGTCCGCGGAGCCTATAATCCCATGTTGAGTCTGCATGTGCTCGAGACTCAACCTATCAGACAATCCAAGCCAGCCGAATCTATCCGACTTTAATCTGTGACCTATGAAACAATCTTAGCTAGCCAAATTGACCCAGTTTCAACTTGTGACCTATAAGACGATCTAACATTGGAGCACTTGTCTAGAATCACCATAACCGAGTTATTCCCTTGCCTGGGCTAGACACCTCAAGCTCGGGACTGGGGGGCACTTGATGAGGAGTGATTTGGGCTTCCAGTCACATTGCACCATGTGGATAGCCTAGTACGATTAGTGACACCTTGGTGCCATCTGAGACCCATGCCTCGTTAGACTAGATCGACTCATGCTGCCCTCCATAGATCGCACCTCGACCAATGGGAGACAAGCAGACCACTTGATAGTAGATTAGAGCACGTCACCTCGATAGGAACCAATTGATGACTCTAGTAACTGACTTGGGCCACCAGTGACTTGTATGGCTAGCCAACCTTTGAGGTACCGACCTATGTGGCACTTCCTACTTGCCCAGATCACCTATATAGCAACACATCACTCACTTGGCAATGATGAACTTGATCTCATGCACTTCAAAGGGAATCGAATGAGGATCAACACAACACCAGAGAGATATGTCCCACAAATGATAGATTGGTAAGGCTTATCGTTCTAAATGCTCCAAACTTGCCACTCTGGACCCCAATGCCTGTATAAAGGCACCTCCACACGTTCATAAGATACGTGCGAACTTGTGCAAACAAGCTCTCTCTCTTTCTCTACTTTCTTTCTCGCTTTATCTATAAGCTTAGCTAACTTAAGTGTTGGAGTGCCTAGCCCATGTCATACCCCCCAAGTACTCTGACTCTCCTTTGTCTTGCATAACTGGTTTACCGACCATAGTGCCCTCGTGCCCAAGCTATTTTCCACCTGGGAATCAGAGTGAGATCAAGCACCACCAATAATGCTTGAATAGTGAGTTACAGGCATTAAAAACACATGTATATGTTTATGAAAAGCATAGAGATTGTCATTCTAGTACCATGTATAACAATTTCAAAAATAAGTGAGGAAAGTGTGATGGTGGTTTGTATGTGGAAAATATAAAAATAAAAAATAATATCAATACATAAAAATATTTAGAGAGGATTTTCTTTTGTAATGGCTTGTTCTTGTGCTTTCCTTTATTATTAGTTTACTTAAATAATTGTTTATCTTGTGCATGTTTGGGATCCTATGTAGGCCCCTCCTATTTGATTCGGAAAAGGAGTCTCATCTGAGTCTTACCTAGACTGGTGTAATTAATGCCTTACCTCTTGGAGTCATTACAAATGAAAATGACTTTTGATACCATTCTTAGACACTCCATCACCTTTATTTTCTTAGATGTTGTGTGGCAAATCCAATTCATCCCAAGTGAGTTGTTTCCCAATGCTTACACATGTCATAACTCTTGTAATAGTCTTTGTTTGAAAAAGTACAACTATAAGATTTTAGTTGAAATTTTAACTTGTCAATTATATTAGATGGGATTATAAAATAAAGAAAAAAGAGATTAGAAATGATATAAATTTTAGAATGGTCCTAAATGATGGTTGCCACAAAGTTGTCCATTATGAGTTACCATGGGTATAAAGAGGTTGCAGATACAAGAAAGGAAAATATTATGAAATAAAACATACTATGGAATTTGTAATAAAGTGTTTTAGTAAAGTAGAATAAAGTGTTCAAATAATAAGACTAAGAAAATTAAGAGTGCAAGAAACTAGAAGGTTTGAAATGGTAAGGGTGTGTAGAGAATTGATTAGTGTCTAGATAAGGGTAGCTATGTGGTGAAGAGAAAGTAGTTGGTGTAATAGTCCATCTAAGAGGGGAGGTAGAGCGTATAGGAGAGGAAGATGCAGGTGAAAAAAACATGTGAATGCTATAGGGAAAATCACTGTGATGTGTATATAGGTTCAAGGGAAAATCACTAAGTGATCTGATGTGAAGAGTTCGATTATGTTTTAAAGGAGGATTGTGTGCATTTCTACTAGGAACTTTGGAAACTTGTGGTGTGGATCTCTTAGAAGATGTAGTGAAAGATATATGAATAGTAGTATAGTCAAATTTCCTTTTTGACCTCCCAATTCATAATAAAGTCATCATCTTTGTCTAAAATAAGGCAACATTGAAACCGCCAGGATGCCACAAATTCCTTGTAAATAATGCCGAATATGACACAAAACAAAGGTACCATCCTATCCTAGTGCTCTATTGATTAATCAAGGAAATGACTACAGGCCACTCGATCATTTCTCTTTTCTCAATAATCCCTTGAATTCACAAAAGTCGCTAGTTAACTAGTTGAGCTTATGCATTAGACATTTTTCTTCGACAAAGTAGCCAAATCTATAGGATGCACCTCAAGGTTCATCAAAGGCTTAAAAAATAATGAAAAATAAAAAAAAAGAGAGAAAAATGAAAGTGCTTAAGGGGTTTTTCTTAGCATATATTATGTTTAACATGTGCTTCTTTAGTTTGTGATGTGCATTTAATAATGAAATGATGGGAGGCCATTCATGGCTGCTTGTTTGACCTTGAGCATTCAATCCTAATAATACGAAGTAAAGTCCCCTAATTATCCCTTTAAACCTTTCTGTTAACTTTACCTTCTCAAGTCGGTTTTAAAAACCATGCTATAAACCAACGTCCGCCAGTGAATTAACATCAATTCCGAGTTTGCACCTACCCCAGCAGTACTTTAGGCCTATAAATTCTGGCCCTGGATTGAACCGTCATTCTTCCAATTTTCTATGCTTCAGTTTTTTGTCTTACCCGTAGTTGGGGTTTCTTCACCAAAGTTTTCTTTCCCCCATTGTAGTAGGGAAGTCCTATCAATATTTCCTGGAATTGCATGGGAGCTGAGAGGAAGATGTTTAAACTTAATTTTAATCATTTTGTTTATATGGATTCTCCAAATTTTATTTTCGAGACCGAACTGGTCAAGGGTCCAGTTATCGGGTCAAACGGTCCAACCATTTGAACCTAACAGTCAGCCCATTCTAACAAAAAAATACAAAATTAAAAAAATAAAAACCGATTAAAACCGTTTGAACGGTTCAAACGGTTAACCGCCCAGGTTAGTGGTTTGTTGACCAAAATCAACAGTTTTTATGAAAAATCTGGTTTTGGGGAAAGTAAAACTAGTCACCTGATCGGTTCCTAGTTTTTCCGGTCCAACCGTCTGGTCTGGTCTGGTTTTAAAAACCATGATTTATAAAATGTGGGTATTTAACATTTTGAATGTTTATAGATCTGAATTCAGAAATCTGCATTGGGCCTGTCCGTACTTTTCCGTAGAAAATTTAGGCAACCAAAACCAAAGCAAGAAAAAAAAAACGCTAGAAAAATCGAAAGAGAAAATCCCAAAACTTACTCATAGAAACAAGCACGAGAGAGTGGTTACCACTTTTTGAGATCGGATGATTAGTTGCAATTTTTTTCCGGTATCATGTCTTCCCGGCAACATAGTCGAACCAAAAAAATTGAAAACAGTCATTTTAACCGGGACATTTAAAGGTCACATATTCCCGGTTATATGGTCCGACCGTCCGGTTTTTATGGTCTCACAATTGCTAAAATACTGGCTTAAAAGAAGAACAGCAAAGAAAAAAATGCAACCGTGTGGCTAACGGAATTTGCTGGGATGGGATAAGAAGCAACGGACGTGAAGTATGAACGTAGCTCTTTGATCGGCAATCTCCATAGCCCACTCTAGATGTCAAGTTTAAGTGTTGCTCTGTGTCTCTCGCCATTTCCTCCATCGAACACTTCTCATTTCTCCAACAATCCGAGCCCATCATCAACTCATCCTAACATTTCCGCTCTCAATTTTGTTTCATCGTACCATATCAATCCCAAATTGAATGATTCCTTCAAATCCCTCAGAGTTCTGTCTTCTGAAACACACACCCCTTCAATCGACTCCTCCACTTCTAGCAGCAGCAGAAACAACAACAGCAGCAACAGTTCTCAATCACCCAGTTCTAATTTTGCGTTTCTCTCAGAACCCCCGTCGCGAAAAGATGATGCCACCATTAAAATGCCCACAGCCCCTTGGATGAAAGGTCCCATTCTCCTTCCCGCCAATGAAGTCTTGGACCTCTCTAAAACTAGGACTAGAAAGAAAAGCAGCAGCAAATCAAGAGATGATGATGGAAACAATGATAAGTGGTTGACTGATAGGGTGAGTGGAGGGAGAGGAAAGCAGGCTATGCGTAAAATCATGCAAGGCATTACCAGACTTAGGCAAGAAACCCATAATTGCAATTCGGAGGTGGAGTCTCATAAATTTGCAGAAGAAGAACTCGCGTTCCGAGTGCCTCTTGGACCAGTTGGCAGCGAAGATGAAGAGGAATCAAAATCGGGTGGGAAAATGCCGTGGTCGAAGGCGGAGAGACTTGTTTTTCCGAGAATGAAGAAGGAGAAGGTGGCCACTGCGGCGGAATTGACTCTTCCTGGAGAGGTTCTGAAGAGGTTGAGGAGTGATGCTGCGAAGATGAGAAAATGGGTGAAGGTGAAAAAAGCAGGGGTGACCCAAGCTGTTGTAGATGAAATTAAGATGATTTGGAGGAACAATGAGCTTGCCATGATAAACTTCGATATCCCATTATGCCGCAATATGGATAGAGCGCGAGAAATTGTTGAGGTGGGTTCGCTTATTTTTAGCTTAATATAGCTTTCTTTTATGTGAAATTTAGGCTAATAAAGCTCAGTATGAGCTTGAAATCCATAGTAGAAAAAGGGGAAGGTAAGAGAAATATCAGTTTTTGTTTTCTAAGCAAAAGGAAGAACTGAAGAAAGGATTAAGATAGTAATTTGATTTAGCTTGGTATTATTAGATGAAGTTGGAGAAGGCAGCTTTTGTATTAATGAGTTTCAATTGGAAGTTTTGCTTATTGTTCCAACAATTTTTTTTTTTTTTTCCAATTTCATTTTTGGTGGGATGAGCACTTTTTGATTTTTTTGGCCGGTGCATGGAAAGTGTATGCTTTCATGCTCTTAGAATTTTAGTCTCTTCTTCATGTGGAACAAGTTGTAATCTACTACTTTAGACTATCAAGCTTAGTTGTAATCTACTTTAGGCTATCATGCCTATTCTGATGTGTAGAAATTTTGGGACACTTTGTTTCATCTGCTTGTTTTATTCAACGCTTGAGAATGTGAGGAACTGGGAATTAATTGTCAAAAGCATCATTTGTTCGGTGAACTGAAGGATAAACTTAGTTGAATCTTCCTCTTCAGTTACTCTGCCATAGTTTGTACCTTTTGGGGCCTCATTTTTCTGGTGGGTCTTACTCTGTTCTTTTGTTACAAAGCAGATTAAGACTGGAGGCTTGGTTGTTTGGAGTAAGAAAGATACTCATGTTGTTTACAGAGGAAGCAATTATCTATCATCCTCAGAAGCTTCACAAGAGTCACATTCAGGTATTTCTGATGTTGCTTGACTATATTCCACAAATTTAGTCCTGAAAAGCCTGAAGATGGCATTGCCATATTTCAAGTAAAACTAATCAGGATTACTGTCACTGGAAGTACAGGTGTTGAGTATGCAGAGCAGGGCTGGCCTTTCAAGAGTATCTCTGTGGAAGAAAATATGGGTCTTAAATCAATAAATAGAACACTGTATGAAAGGGAAGCTGATAGATTATTGGATGGCTTAGGGCCTCGCTTCATTGACTGGTGGAGACAAAAACCCCTGCCTGTAGATGCAGACTTACTACCAGAAGTGGTTCCTGATTTTAGGCCTCCTTTTCGGCTGTGCCCCCCCAATGTGAGATCAAAGCTGACAGATGATGAATTGACCTACTTGAGGAGTCTTGCTCGTCATTTACCTACACATTTTGCTCTTGGTAATTATCTTGCCCAATTCATGATTTCTAAATTCCACAATACCAGCCAGTTTGGTTTTGGTTTTTGATATTGCAAATTTTCAGTTGTTTGGTCCAGTTTTGGTTGACCTATTAAAAAACTGTGGTTAACCGAACTGACCAGTATATATTTATGTTATTATATATATTTATATTATAAATATTTGGCATATATTCATAATATATATTATAAATATAAAAAACTGAAAAACCAAACTGGTCAAAACCAATTCATTCGGTTCGGTATTTTTCAAAAACCGATGGACCAGTTCATTTTCAAATATGTTCCCACTGTTCACACCCCTAGTTCTGGACAATATTCTTTGTCATTACATCATTTAAGCAGTAATTCACATTTGACTTATGACTCTGCATATCTGTATCTGTGGCCTTTTCATTTTCTTTCTTGCTTTATTTCTTTTGGCTGGGGTTTAGGGAATTGTTGGGGGATAGAAATGTTTAGTTGGATGGTGTAGGTGGAGTGGTTCTTTCTATCTTTCTTCTTTCTTTCTTTCTTTTTTTCTTTCCTTCCTTCCTTCCTTTTCTTTTAAATCCATGGTTCTTAAGATTATTGATTACTCTCATCTTACTGAAGGGAGAAACAAAAAACTTCAAGGCTTGGCTGCTGCCATCTTAAAGTTATGGGAGAAAAATATTATAGTGAAGATTGCAGTTAAGTGGGGAATTCCAAATACAGACAATGAACAAATGGCTTGGGAGCTTAAGGCAAGTTTGATAAGATAGAAGTTTATAGTTCTCTGGAGATTTTAGAAGTAGGTTGATATGGTTAAAATCAAGACTTGGTAGGTCCCACTGGCATTTGATCTGTTGAAATCATTGTATGCATTTTCCATAAGCCATGTAGAATTGAATTAGCTTGACTGGTACTGCTGACTATTAACATATGCAGCCTAATGATTAGGTGTATTAATACCATTCTTGCTGGAAAGGACAAATTTACTCCATTCCCTTCAATTCTCTCACAGGTCGACCCAAACTTAATTTCAAATGTGTTTGATGAAAGTTGTATATGAACTACAGAGTTAAATAAAAACTGTTTTTGTGAAATATGACTCACCACCTTGAAGTTGTTTATGTGAGGAATGTTATGGTCTAGGGTTTATAATTTATGCCTATACAACTCATTAAGTCATAGAAAATGCTATTGGAGTATTAATTGTATATTGAGAATTTATTGCAAAACCAGTTATTTAGAAAGTGCACCTAGGCACACAGGTGAGGTGCACATTAAGGTATGCGACCTAGGTCCCAAGCGCATCACTTTCAAAAGGTGTGCCCCTGGTGCGCCTTGCGCCTCAACCCAGGCATGTGCCTTTATTTTTCACATTTTGGTGATTTTTAAGCATGGTGGCTAGGGCCTGGACCCCTGACCAAGCTCCTTGAGGCAAGCCCAAACAAACAAGTCCATGTTAAGGTTTTAAAATTCTTAATCCCTAAAAAAGTGATTTTATAATTTTAATTATCTCTTAAAATATATTTTATTAGGATGAATGGATGAATGAACAACATTAGCAAATAGGGGGTTCTTGGAGCTTCGGTGAATAAATGAAGTTGCACCCATATGGGCAACAAACTGATGTGTTACTGATAAAAAAGTTAAGATTTTAATTGTTCATGATATAAAAGATTAAAAACTCCTTATACTTATTTAAAATGCTCATTTTATTTTTTGATAGTATTGGCAGCCATGGGCTATTTCTTCTTGGTTGCTGTTGGTGGCTGTATAAGAAAAGAGAAGTTGAGAATTATGACATAACCTGGTTCAAAACATGTTTCCATCAATTTCCTACTAACAATCCATTATTCTTTAATACCCAAAGCAAACCCTCTGGTGAGAAAAGACAGGTTAAGGAATGCATAGTGTTTTCTGTAATTTGCACATGTAATACCAAGATAACCTGCTTAGAGAATGCCATGCTTTCCTGAAATAAGACACTTTCTAGCTTACCACATGATTTCTTTTTCACCTTTTGTCAGGTTATCAATGTTTCTCCTTAAGAAACTTTTAGATTCCAAAGATTGTATTTCTTGACAACCTCCTAGCATAGAGGTGCAGGCTATAAATTAAATTGACATAACATTATGTAACTCTAAATAGGATTAGTTCATTTTGCATTGACAATTAAGAAAGTATTAGCTATTCATTACCTCATATGCCTATTATGCCTGTCAAGCCATATGCCCTTGATGTAGAGATTTTGCTAGTGCAGCATCTCACAGGAGGAGTTCTGATATTAAGGAACAAGTTCTTAATCATACTTTACAGAGGCAAGGACTTTCTTCCTTGTGGAGTAGCAAATTTGATTGTAGAGAGAGAAATGGAGCTTAGCAGATTCCAACTGCAGGAAGAAGGTGCAAGGTTCAAAGCAATAGAATCATTTCATATCCTTGATGAGACTCTTACAAGCACCAGTGCTATTGGAACATTTTCAGAGTTCCAGGATATTCAAAAAAAATGTATATGGAATGACAATAAAAGTAGGGATATTGACATTAAAACAGCAGCTGAAAAAGAGAAGTTAGAGAAGGAATTAAGAAAACAAGAGCGCATGCTTTTCATTGTAAGATTAGTTATCTTTATCTTGTAGGATCATCTGCTACTCTTTATGACAGAAAAGGAGCTGCCGATGCTGAGGTGCAAATTTTTGTTTTCTAATATGCAGCTGAAGATGAAGATAAAGAAGTCAGCAAAAGAGCTGGCTAAGCTTAACTTGGCATGGAAACATTCTGAGCATGTTGCAGATAGAGAAATCATAACTGAAGAGGAGAGAGAATGTTTTCGGAAGATAGGCCTGAAGATGGACAAATTCTTGGTACTTGGTAAGCGCACAGTTCTTCTACTAGTTATATATGTATGGATTTTCTCAGAGTTGAAGGGCTGGAAATAGAAATTTCATGTCTAAATGTTTCAGAAAGATCAATTATTTGATTTTCTGTTTTTTTTTTAAGTGGACTTCATAGCATGTCTACTTTTTTTTTTTAATTTTTTCTCTTTTCATCATTATGAAGCAGGTTCTAAATTCCATGCCAGGTTTGGCTGATATACCTTTCCAAGATAGGTCTACATTTTCTGAGCTGACTAAAATCTCCTCAAGGAAATATAAGTGCTAGGATCAATTGATCCCAAGATCTAAGAACCTTGTTGCCTAGTCGCCTAGGCACCAAGATGAGGCTAGGCAGCAGGGGGGAACCTTGTTGCCTAGTCGCCTATGCGATGGATTTTTTTAAGTGGTAAACATAGATCCTAGGATAGTTCCCTAGGTACCATAACCATATTTCCTTAATAATTATTCATATTTTTCATAAGAAAAGTATAAAGTTCATGCTAAAGTAAAGAAAATCAATATATTCATGAGAAGAAAAACAAAAAAGAAAAGAAAATTGAAAAAATATAAGGGCTGAACTCTTATTTTTGTTATAGGAAAGTAGACCTGTTCATGGGCCGGGCCGGGCCGGGCTCGGGCCGGGCTTTTACTCATCATTAATGGAAATACGCTAGGCCTGAGCCCGAGCTCAGCCCGACCAACGAGCCTATAACTTGGGCCCGAGCCCGGCCCTGATAAAAAGCCTGAAGCCCGAGCCCGAGCCCAAGCCCGAGCCCGAAGCCCGACCTAATAGAAAAAATTACAATTTTCCCTATTCAAATTAGAATTAAAAATTCAGATGGTTTTTTTTTCCTATTTAAATGAACAATGGGCCTACAAGATGGTTTTTTTCCCTTTCTTTTATGTTTTAAAACACAGTTTTACATTCTTAAATCAAAAAATTTATTCAAATGGACATAATCACATAACCCATTTTAAGTCTAATTTTAGGTCGGGCCGGGCCGGGCTCGGGTTGGGCTATTTTGACAAAACCCGAGCCCGGCTCGAATTTATTGTGGGCCGGGCTTTTTGGCCCGAGTTTAAGCCCGCGGGCCTATAAACATGTTCAAGCCCGTCCGGGGGCCGGGGGGGGCCGGGCTGGCCCGTCGGGTCACCCAGCCCATGAACAGGTCTATAGGAAAGGAAGAAAAGAAAAAGTAGAAGATATGGAAGAAAAAGTTTAAGAAAAGAAAAGAAGAAAAGAAGAAGAAGAAGATATAGGAGAAGAAAAATGTGTTGATTAGACAAAAGTTTAAGTTCTACTTTACTTATTGGTTCAGGTTTTGTAGTCTTTGAGGGTTCAATACAGCATTTAGAAATGTTTGTGTTGATTAAACCCTAACAAATAAGAAAATAATAAAAAGAAATTAGTATATTAACATACAAAACGAATATTTTAGTTTAATAATATCTATTTTGAAATTATAATCTCAAAATATAAAGAATAAGAAAGTATTTTATAATAGAAAGTACAAAACTGCTTGGCGGTTAGGCGAGGCGAACCTCCAAGGGCTCCTTGTAGCCTAGGCTCCTGCCTAGGCATCACCTTGACAACTATGAAACAATCTTAGCATTGTTTATTCTCCATTGCTGTAGATTCTTAGATTTGTCTATTCTGGTCTCTTCAAACCCATCAATGTATTCCCATAACCCTTTTCCTTCCACATAGTATTCGAAGTGGAAAATCAGATATTTAAACCCATCAATGTATTCCCATAACCCTTTTAGACAGTCACTTGAAAAGAGCATATTTCCAGGGGAAAAAAATGCCTTCACAGTGTTCCAAGATACCACCCCAGATGGAGGTTGGAATGCCGCAAGCTTATAGGATGAACCATTATCAGATCATAGGGGTCAGAAAAGTATATTACGTTTACACCAAATCTCTTGGGTTTCACCCATTCATCATCCAGATTACAAGGTTCAATGATAAGATCCAAAAAGAAATCCTTCAAAGTTCCAAGGATAGGTTCTGGTTGGACCAGAAATAACAGCCCTCAAAGCTCACAAAAAGAAGCCAAGAAAAATAGATTATTCTGGTCAAAACATCTGTTACATATGAGCAGATCTCCTTTGCTTGTTTTCTTATCTGAATACATTGACTTGACCACTCAACTAGGTCTGAGACAGAGCAAGTTTTACATGTGTAGATTTGGTTTTCTCTTCAAATCGCCATCATATATACAAATCAATCAGTTCAGTAGAGAAGAGAAATTCCCATGATCTAACCAGTTACTCAAATACTATGTAAACGTGGTCTGATTCTATCAGTCCAAGGTTGAAGAATATTCACCACTAGAAGAAAAATACCATGTAAACCTCTAATGGGCTATCCAATCCTTGTCCCAACTATATGGGGTTGGCTACATGGACCCTGTTTTGCCATTTAATTCTGTTCAGTGCCATATTCATTGTTAACTTATGGCCCAAATATTTGCAATTACATGGAATCCCTTATAGGTGCAGAACAGAAACATAAAAAAAAAAAAACATATAAGGACTTTACATCAATCAGTGTTTTAAAAGCACAAGGGCCAATTTCACCCGAAGTGCAAGGTGTGGCATGCGCCTTTTTGAAGCAAGGCACAAAAATAACAAAACATGTCAGAAAATTCAAAAAAATGCAAAAAATAAAAATATTAAACATAATATTAATAAGAAATATAAACTTAAATTTTAAAATTAATGGTTTAAAAAACCTATTATCTAAAATTAAAATATATAAACATAACATGTAAAGCATATTCAAATGAAAATTTAAAAAAAAAATCAAACATATAAAACATTTTCAAGCATGTAAAGCCCACAACCTCTTTTTTTTCCTCAATTGCATTACTTTAAGTAGCTAATGTGATGTAAAACATATTACACTCTTGAGTGTACGAGTTGCCTTTGTGCCATGCCCCTTGAGGCAAGCCCAAACAAGTCCACATTAGGGTTATGTTCTTAATTCTCACACAAAAAAAATAATGATTTTATAATTTTAATTGCCTTTTAAAAAGATATTTTATTAAGATGAATGAATGAACAACATTAGCAAATAGGGGGTTCTCGGAGCTCTAGCTCTGAGGGCGAAGCCCCCAGTCCAGCAGCTAGGTTCAAAAGAAGCAAAAAAGCATACAATTTTCAAAAGGCACACACCTGGGCCAAGGCGCAAGGCGCATCAGAAACACACCTGAGCCAAGGCACAAGGCACATCAAGCGTACGCCTAGGTGCACCAGGCGTGCACCTTTTGAAAGTGCTGCGTCTAGGACTTGGGCGAGGCGCCTACTCTAAAATGCGCCTTGCCTGTGCACCTAGGCGAGCCTCAGGCACGCCTTTTAAATCACTAACATTAGTAAAAGGAAGTGCAATAAATATAATGTATAATGTGCAAGGGCCAGTTCATTTCCTCTTAACTCTTATCTCTTAAGAGGAATCTTACAACTTTAAGAGGAAAATGGGTGTTCATTTCGTCTTATCTCTCATCTCTTAAAAGGAATCTTACAACTTTTTGTTTTCCAATAATACCCCCAAAACACAAAAAAAAAGTCTCATATATAGGGTTAATATGGATGTTTGACAATTTTCAGAATTTAGAATTCAGAATTCAGAACAACATTCTTTGCATTCAGAGTTCAGAGGAAAGAAAAGTTCACCAATGCCAATATACCTCTTAATGTAATTATTGCACTTTCAGATGTCAGACATCAAGCAAACGAACAAGCCCTAAGTCACATGGTCTACTCTCCACACTTCAGGGGGACAGTCCCTTGCCAAATCGCTCTTACCCACAAATAATCATTGTTGATTTTTTTCCATACTAAATTCGGTTCAACATTGCAGTTTTAGCTGAATCTTGGTTGTCCTACTGTATTTCTTTCTGAAATTGTCACTAGGTTTCACTAGATTTCTTAGTGAAGTATACCAATTACCTTTTAAGAAGTGCAAAAGAACCTATTTATGGTAAAAATGAAATTTATTAAAGGGAGAAAGGATACAAGAAAATGACAAGGAATCAGTGTGAGAGAAAAGAACAAAAAAAAAAACCCCTCAGCCTCTGACAAGTGACAACAAATTATTCATCCATTACAAATACCCCAAAAGCTCTCTCCTTCTTTCAGATAAAGATTGTGCATGGTGATTGGAACAACCGCTTATTGGTTGTGATATTTTCCTTCTCTTTTTGCCCTTGCCTCTAACAAAGATGGGCCATCTGAGAGTGCATGGAATTAATCAATGGGCATCTGGTTTGGGTTCCCAGATTTCATAGAAACCTGAATGACTGGAAAGCAGACCCGTTTGTGGAGTTGTTGGCTAAACTTTATGATGTGCTGGTGAATCCCAATACCAGGGGTTCCAGGTTGTGGGTGTGTGAGAAAGATGGTAATTTCTCAACTAAATCCTGTTATAGAGCTTTTGTTGGGGCTGTATGAAAACAATTGCTTGGTCTTGGATTTGGCAAGCTCAGGTTCCACCCAAGGTTCTTTCTTTTGAGGATTGCTGGTAGGGAGATTCAGATTGTGTATGCCTTGGTGAGGTGCAGCTAGTAATTTAAAACGCATGCCTAGGTGCACAAGTGAGGCACATTTTAGGGTAGGCACCTCGTCCAAGTCCTAGGTGTGCGCTCGATGCGCCTTGCGCCTTGGCCCAGGTGTGCACCTTTTGAAAATTGTATGCTTTTTCAAAAGGTGGGGGCTCCACCCTCGGAACCAAAGCTTCGAGAACCCCCTATTTGCTAATGTTGTTCATTCATTCATCTTAATAAAACATCTTCTTAAAAGGCAATTAAACTTATAAAATCATTATTTTTTGTGTGAGAATTAAGAATTTAAGACCCTAACATGGACTTGTTTGGTCTTGCCTCGAGGGGCATGGCACAAAGGCAACTCATAGAGTCAGGAATGTAATATGTTTTACATCACATTAGCTACTTGAAGTAATGCAATTGAGGAAAAAAAAGAGATTGTGGGCTTTACATGCTTGAAAATGTTTTATATGTTTGATTTTATTTTTAAATTTTACATGTTATGTTTATGTATTTTAATTTTAAATAATAGCTTTTTTAAACCATTAATTTTAAAATTCAAGTTTATATTTCTTATTAATATTATGTTTAAGATTTTTTATTTTTTGCATTTTTTGAATTTTCTGACTTTTTTTTTGTTCTTTAGCACTTTTTTTGTATTTTTGCACCTTACTTCAAAAAGGAGTGCACCTCACCTTGGGCCTTGCGCCTCGGGCTCAAATTGGCCCTTGCACTTTTGAAACACTGGATGCAGCAGGGATTTAGATGGCACATGCTGGTTGTATGGGCTGGCTTCAGAGTGTGTCCACCACTTATCCATTGTCCATTCACTTATCAGTGAATGGGTTCCCCTTATACCATGGCTGACTCGCTATCCTTTTGCAGGGTGGTTTTTTTCTCAGCTAAGGGGAGATTTTCTTAGGTGTTGTCTTACTTTTTCTATTAGCTGGGCTGTTTGGAAAGAGCGAGACTGTATAATCTTTGAAGCTAAATCTTCCTTTGAAAGTTATCACTTCTAAGGTAGAATGGTCTCTGAGTGGGTGGGCTGGTATTTTAAGGCTTTTGTGGGAACTCCAGCCAGTCATTTTTGTTGATTAATGGACGTCTATCATTTTCTGAGCCTCTTTCTGCATAGGTTCTGAATGTATATGATCTGTGCATAATTACAGGCACTGCACACTGCACACTAGAAAGCTTTGACTTTCCTTTTCAAGTTCTTTCTAAGAGCTTCACCTACTCATCTGACCTGTCCTTAACAAAACCTTCACAATTTAGACCAAGATAATACCAGCCTGCCTCTCTATCTCTTCTCAAGTTCCAAAAAAAAAAATCTTGCGTACTCCTCACCTCTTCTTTCTCTTGCACTATATTTTCTTCCTGATTGCCAATCATTATGACCTCATCCACTTCAGGCTCCTCCCCTTCATGAACTGAAGATGGAATAGTTCTATATCTTTTGCCTTTTTTGTTCATACTAGTTTCTTTTCCTTTGACACTGATAAGATCCAGCCCAAGAGTCCATTGGCTATACAAGCATCCTGTTAAATATCTTTACACTAAGAAGACACGTCAGCCAGGTGCAATTCACACAGGCTTCAAATCATGCAAGGGACGTGATCTCAACTGATGTGAAGAAGCCTATAAATAACTGCTTCTAGTTGAATAACATAAAAAGGAAATCAGATCTCTCACCTCTATTTCTCTCCCTCATCTCTTTCTTCTTCCTCTTCTTTTCTTCTCTCCCTCTCCCTCTCCCTTCTCTCTTCTGTAATTCTTCCATTTGAGGAGGTTTAGGCTCCCATGAAGAAGCTCCAACTTGTATTAGATTTTCCTGGATCTCTGTTGCAGTATATCAGCAACAAATGCTGAAAGCCTAAAACTGCAATTTCTTTATTCACTCCTTCACCACTATCAACTCTATGCCTGAAGTCCATCTCCTTCCTCAATTCCTCTTCCAAGGTATTATTCTGGAACTCATCACAAATATGAGAGCTTGATGAGATCTTCGCCTCCTCTATTATTACATTGTTGTAAATCTTTCTTTAACTGTTTTTTTATTGGTAAAATATTTATTTAACTTCGATGAAGGTTCATCTAAAGAAATATATTGACTACTACTTCTCTGTAATCCCTTTACTAGTAGTTAGCGAAGTCTTTGTGATCTTTGGTGTATGAAATGCTGCTCAGTTTTAACTCAACTTATACTTCTTCCATATATATTTTCAGTCAATCCTATGGTATTTCTTATATATTGCAAATTGCATTCAAGCCTGTGGTCTTTTTATCTTAACTGCTAGTTTTGATTTTCAAAAGAAATGTTTCTGTACAGGGAGGCGTGGTGTATTTGATGGTGTAATTGAAGGTCTTCACCAGCACTGGAAGCACAGAGAAATTGTCAAGGTGATAACAATGCAGAGATCATTTATACAGGTTATGGATACTGCAAAACTGTTGGAGATAGAGAGTGGTGGGATATTGGTTTCAGTTGAGAAGTTAAAAAAAGGCCATGCAATTATTCTTTATCGTGGGAAAAACTACAGGCGCCCCTTGAAATTAGTGCCAGATAATTTCTTGACAAAAAGAGAGGCACTACAACGATCTTTGGAAATGCAAAGAATAGGAGTAAGTAAACATCAATATCTGCAGCTGCTTTTTTCTCAGTATCTGCTTGTGTATAGTGCACACAGACAACCATGAGCAATGGAAATACTTGTGGTTTCTATAATTAAATTTGATCCCTTTTCTTTCTTGTCTCAGTCATTGAAGTTCTTTGCATATCAGAGACAACAGATGATCTTGAATTTGAAGCACAAACTTGTAAGTCTCTAGACTGTCTTTTAATTCTGAAGTTAGTCGAAGGGTTGATGACCCAATGCATTATCTCATTATCATCCTTTCTAGGTTTTACATCAAGATCTGTGGATGCACAACCATGTTCCTGCATGTACCAATGATGCAAACTTGTAAATTTGTAATGGACCAAGAAATAACTAATGTATTATGTTTTGCATTGCATCATTTCATAGGATAATGATTTGGACATATCCCAACCAGAACTGTTGTTCCATTCATTAAGTCAACTCAACTCAATCTCAACCAAAGTTCAAAATATCGATACTGGCCGATATGCCGGCAGGGCGTATCGACCAGTATCAGCCCGTTTTTTTAACTTCCACTTATTTTTCTTTTTCGATTTTGGTTCAGAGGGGCCGGTTTAAATCCCTGCTACCCTCTGAACCAGGCCCTGATCTGATATAACCCCTGTAGGGGCGTATCGGGAAGGGCCCGATATGATACATATTGGCCAATGCGGGCTGATATGTAACGATTTTTTGAACCTTGATCTCAACTATTTGGAATCATCTACAATATGATGGACCCATATGCAGTGGAATATGTAACCAAGATGAAGAATAAATGATGGCATATGGAATATGGTTGGCTGTATGACAATGTTGCAGAACATAGATTGCAGCAGTAAGAAATTAGAAGAATGCCCAAGATGAGGAAGAATAAATAGTTTTTTTATTAGAGAGAGACATCAAACTAATGAAGATAAGAGAAGAAAAATGGAGAGCAAGTATATAAAAGAAAGAATAAATACATGGATACAATCAGAAATTTTCAATTTATAGATTGAACAGAGGGTGCTAGGATTTCTCCATTGTAATTCTATCCTATATATGATGCAGGGGTAATTTGGTCTTATTACCTCCATAGTTGTGAAGGTGATGCCCTGGCGGGTGCCTAGGCGACAAGGCGCCCTTTGAGGCTCGCCTCACCTAATCGCCAAGCAGTTTTGTACTATGTATTGTAAAATACTTTTTTATTCTTTATTTTTTGAYATTATAATTATAAAATWGGCACTATTAAACTAAAATAYTCATTTTGTGTGTTTATATACTAATTTG